GGATTTACATCGACTAACTTACGACGTGATCTATGGTATGCGAATTTGGGTTGTAACATTACTCCTATTTTCTCGTACAAATTCTGTTATGTTCTCGATTATTTCTCTAAAATATTTTTTGGAGAAATTATTTGGAAAAAAAGGTTTGCTGGAGAAAGTGTTTGACTAGTTACTCCTATTTTCTCGCACAAATTCTGTTATGTTCTCGATTATTTCTCTAAAAAATGTCTCAAGACAAATTTTAATCAAATATTTAAAAACATTAAAAACCATATAAGCAAGCACACTCCAAACAAGTGGGTTTCAATCTTTTTTAGTTTGCAAATCAGTTTTTGAGTTTTTTTGCGAAAATGTTTATTTTCAAACTCAAATTTTCAAATCTTTCATCATCTCCAATACTTCAAATAAGCACCACCTTAAATAGGCGTTTAAACAGGAGAATTTTTTGAAAATGTTGAAAAAGACAGAAAAAAGTTGTTCGTTTATCACTATAAAATATTTTTCGGAGGGAGAAGTGCTTTGACACACTTTTTTAAAAAATAAAATAAAAATTTACTAAAAAAGAAGAGATAATAGTTAGATAAACTGCAACTGTTTAAAAAACAATTCTTTCTACACAAAATATATACTCTCCATTTAAATTTACGTTATCATATTTATTTTTAGTCCATTTAAAAAAGAATAATCTTTTCCTAAATTTAAAATAATTTAATTTAAACTTTTAATTTATCTTTAATAAATTTTCTTTATAGCCATACAAATGTTGTGGTATATTTTAAATAAAAAAATTTAATTTTTTTTTAAATTTTAAAATTCGTGACCTAGTCAAATAAATTTACATAAATTACAATAAAGGAAATATTATTTTCAAAAATTATTGAAATGGCTTATAAAAAACTTCAGAATTTAAAGGGGTTTGGAAGGAAACCAAAAAGGTTGTAAATATAATCAGGTCCAATGAGATGGTACCACGTTGAGTCCTAAAATGGCAAATGTAGGTTGTCTAGGAATACAGAATTACAGATGCAGTAGTAATAACGTACAACAGAGACTGAACCAAACAGAGAACGTTTGCACCTCCATTTTCAGTTTTCACTCACCCCATTCATAACTGGTGTTCTCTTCTCTTTCTCTTTATACAAACAAACAAATGTATTTGCGTGTATATACAAGGAAAAACAAGAAGGAAAAAAGTGTTGAATGCTCTGAGTTCCAGCAGATTAAAAGGTTTGTATGTGCTTTCTTTTCTTTTTTGGGTTTTTTTCTCATCAGTTATTTTGTCAAGTTATACACTCTAATATGAATTATTTGAGAAATGAATTTATGGGTCGTTTTTAAAAGTTAAAAAAGCGTATTTTTACTTCTATTATGCTTTCTAAGCTGGTTGTTATTGCTTTTTTCTTCTGTTTTTAGCTCACATTTTGCTTTGATTTTTTTAAGAGAAGAATATATATCGGTGTTCTTCTTGTTCTGCTAATTCCTTTTTCTTATGGTAAAAACGGGGAGTCCTTAGAAAAGCGCCATTGTGTAGTATTTTATATACTAATATTTTGGTTCTGTTTCTGTTATTTAACATTTTATTGATGCTTATTTCTAGTATTTATTAAGAAAAGCTACAGTGGAAGTGCTATAAAATTGGTATTTAGGGTTTCTTAGTTCTGCATGTGATGTTGCAGTTTTATGATCAGAAAAAAAAAAAACACAAGAAAAAAACTACTACTATGGAAGTGGGCCTCAGGGGTTTTGTTTGCTAAAACAAAAAGGGGTTTTGTTGGCTTTATTTTGTGATGTGTTTCTGTAGCTTTCTTGTGTGGGTATATAATAGTACTGTTTATTTGAGCATTTTCTTCAGGGATGTCTTTGGTTAGACCTTAATGCAAGTAAGGGTTTATTTTTCATAATCTTTTGATCATGGATTGATAAAAGAAACTAAATGTGTTTGGGGAGATTCTGACACTTTCTTGTAAGGGTTTTGATTTGCTTGTTATCCGATATATCTCATACAATTCAGTAGCAACTAAGCTAACTTAATCGATACATGCTATTTGAATAAATATTGGTAAGCTGTCACGTCACGGGAAGTTCTAATTCTCTGTTCAACTGCAGTTCACTGAAAATGGGAAGTGAAAAATCAGATAGATCAGAATCTGGCAATTTGATATCTTTGACGGGTGTCCAGAAAGAGAAATTCTGTATTGATTGTGCTGAACAAAATCAGCAAACTAGTATGAGGGTCTTAAAAGAAGAAGAATCAAAGAGTCGAAAGAATAGGGTAGGCCCCGGGGACCTTATTTGGGGAAAGGTAATGTCTCATCCATGGTGGCCGGGGCAAATATACAATGAGAGTCTAGCACCTTCTCCACTAGGCCATGCCAAGAAAGATGGTTCAGTTCTAGTTTCCTTTTTTGGTGATGATAGTTATGCGTTGCTTGATCACGATCAAGTCATCCCCTTTGAACCTCATTTTGAGGAGAAGTCAAAGATGTCAAAACTTCAAACTTTCAGTGTGGCAGTTGAAGAAGCTATTGATGAGCTGAAAAGGAGAGCTGCACTTGGCTTGACTTGCTTCTGCCTACACCCTGGTAACTTTCGGCCTACAAAAATTGAAGGGCTTTACGAAGTTGATGTGAGCGGGTATGAACATGGGGCCATTTATTCATCAAAACTGATTAAAAATTGTAGAGATGGTTTCCAGCCACATGGGATGTTTTCATTCGTAAAGCAGTTGGCCACGTCTCCAAGATCTTTGCTGAATATTTATGGGATAATTAACAGTGCAAAGGTTACTGCTTACAGAAAAGCAGTTTTTGAAGAAAACGATGAGACCTATGATCAGGCGTTTGATGAATTTGAAAAAGATGATGAGACTTCTGGTCAGGCATTTGGAGTGAAAGCCTCAAGCTCAGAGTATCTGGCAGAATTTTCAAAAAACGGAAATCAACTTCAAGGTATCAATCAATATTTCCTCTGGCATGGTTTGTCTTCTAGACTATTGTACTTGTTTTTTGTTTTGTTTTTGTTTATGCGAGGAACAAATCCTCTTCTTCTTGATTGCATCCCCTGAGAAAATTCAGATGCTAATCAAGTCACCTATATCGAGAGTGTATATTGATAAAGATTTAAGATCAAGCTTGGTTGGACTTTGCATTTTTTTTTTTGTCCTTACAAACAAAACTTTTCTGAAGCATAAAATGGATGTGAAAAGGACGCGACCTATGTATAATGTCAAGCTATAAATTTTGATGTGCTTGTTCAGTCAATCATTTTAAAGTAAGATCGATATCTGGACAAGACCAAGCATACGTTAATCTATTATGAACATAATTTCCTTGTGGATTAACAACATGTCCCTCCTATATGCATCCACCATACCTGTTTGGGCACTCAGCTTTTCCATCATTGTATTGTACCAAAATTGGTTTCATGGTTATTTTGCTTTTGCTGTCGCCTCATAAGTGCTTACTCAATTGACCAATTTTAGTTTCTACTAATTTATCGTGCATTCTACTGGTATTTATTGTTCTAGAATACACACTAGTATTCCATATTTAAATAAAGAACACAATGATTTATTTGCTTACTGTTATTGACGAGTCGATAATTTGGGGCAGATATGCTAAATTATGTAAATTCTTGCAGGTACTGCTGGTGCTCAGGTAGAAGCTGCAGCCTCAAATGGACCGAGAGTATTTGTAATATCCACTGAAATAGCTCGTTTAGAGAGGAATAATAGCGTTACTGTGGCGAAACCTTGTGTTGATATTGCATCAGAGAGATCAGGACCTGCTGCTCTACATTATAAACACAAGGATAAGGCTTCAGTTTATAGGAAGTTGAGAAGGTCAGAGGTATCAAAAACACTGGATAAATCTAAACGTTCCCAATCACTCAATGTGCCTAACGTGATTACAAAAGAGAAATTGCAAAATCTCAAATGCCCTATCATTCCTTTTGATGCATCTGTAATCGAAGAAAAGGAAAAAGAGTCATGTAAAGGAGAAATCAAAAGGAAGAGGATGAAATGGTCTCCACCAAATGAACAGGGGCAGAAAGGTAAGTTCCAGAAAGATGCTACCTTTGACAATATACATGCCAAATCAGGTGGAGAAACTGGCAGGACCTATTGTCACAAAAATAGAGAAACTTGCAAAAAGAAGAAAAATAACAGGGTTAATGACTACGGTACTCCACGAAATGGTGGTCTTTTGTCCGACTTGCTAGCTTTTGCATGTGATCCATTTTATGGAACAGAACTGGGGAATGCTACTGGTGCATTGACGCTTTTGAAGCAATTCCGATCAAACTTTTACCAAAAGAGTTGTTGTCCAGATGAACATGAGACGACCAACAAAAAGCGGACACTCTTGGAATGCCAAGAACGTATGACTAGGAAAGAAGAGTTGAGGGGCTTGAAGTCCTTGCGCATGACAAAGAAGTATGATGACCAAAAACTTTTGACACCCCAAGAAGGGACTGACCTTAACATCCAATCAACATTGCCTGTGCAGTCTGAGATGAAGTCATTACCGAGGGAGTTGCCCAAGGAAAATTCTAAGTGCAGGTCTGATGTAGAAGAACAAGCATCTCCCAAAGGTAACGCGAATAGCAACTCCATAGTTTGTGAGTATCCAGACGTTGATGCATCTTCTGCAAAAGTTAATATTGGTGGCGAAAACTGTCGAGAGGTCCTTTCTGAAGTCGTGTGTGCTTCAAGTCCTGTTTCTTCTAGCATTCAGTACAAGTATAAAGTTGGTAGTTTGGATGAGACCGTTGCAGCCATTAACAGGAAATATTCCATGGATGAGGGATGGAAGAGTCATTATCAACAAAATCTCAGTGCCATTAACAGTTCAAATTTGTCACTTCAGCTGTCTAACCTTCTCCAGAAGTGCAATGACATTTTGGGTCACAGAACCAGTTCAGCAACCAGAGTTAACTCAAATGAATGATAAGCTATACAGTATACTGATGGAGCTTGCACAATGAGAAGGAGAAAAGAGCATAGAACTTGTTCTCATTGTAGGTTGATGGGGTTAACTCAAATTGCGGAAGATGTTGTAGGGGTTTCATTCCCTAGCTTGATTTCTAGCTAGTTTTCTTTTGTTGCTTTGTTTCTCTTTCGAAAAAAAAGTCCTTGTGAAATAGGCCTATCATGCCCTTGTGGTCTACTTTCATGACTTTCTAGTTTTGGTCCAGTACCATTGTAGGTTGTTTGAAGAAAATGGAAACTATCCAGTACCATTCTCTAATTTAACTAAAGCCATGTTTAATGTTTTATGAATGCCCAAATACCTTGTCTAACGTGTTTAATTTCAACGAGCAACGCTACAACTGATGGACCGAGGGATAATTAAATCGACGAGGAAGGAATAGGACCAGTTCCATGTCTGAAGGTAATCTAGTTCCATAATTAATTTAAATATCAAATTAGCCAAATATTACGAGGACCAAAATAAAAATTTACTGTATAATAATTAAGGGACCAAAAGTGCAATTATTCCGGAACAATTGATTTCGGGAGAAATTCAAAAATAACCAGAGTGGTAATTGAAAAATAGCCACAGTTTCAAAAGTAATCGAAATTTAGCAACTTTTCATGTAAAGATAAATCTGAACGAAAACACTGTTCAAAATCCAGAAAATATTCTAGCATAATATACTAGAGTTCCGGTATAATATACCGGTCCAGCATAATATGCTGGAAGTTCATACACAGGTGCTTCATTCTCCACTATTTTATGCTGGAACTTTTCGCGTGTTGGAGTTCCAGCATAATATGCTGGAAGTTCATACGCAGGTGCACCAATCTCCAGTATATTATGCTGGATCGGTTCGTGTTGTAGCAAAATAGTGGCTATTTTTCAATGACTTTGCAAACTCTGACTATTTTTCAATTACCAATCCGAAAATTGACTAGCCCGTGCTATTTTTACTTTGATTTCGGAGACAATGGCCCAAATATTTTTGATTTCATAATATCCATGTATGTAAATTAATTCATACTCTCCTCGTTTTAAGCATAGTTTGAATTGACATAGAGTTAATAAAGAAAGTAAGACTTTTAAAATTTGTGATTTTAAATATACATAACATTCTATGACTATGAGCACATTTGGATTAGCTGATGTGTAGCTGAAAAAATCAAGTGCTGAAAACACTTTTAGGTGCTGAGACTAATTTTATAAATAAGCAATTACGTGTTTGGATATAAGTGTTGAAGCTAATACTAATAAATTGTTAGTTTGTTGATGGTCGTTCCTATTAAAATGATTGAAATATCCTTAAAACTATTTGCATAAAATATAAATTTAAAAGTATTTTTACATTAAAAAGGGATGAATGATGGAAATAAAGTTAATGTTGTAGGAAGAGTATTTGAATATTACAAAAGATATTAGGGATAAAATCATAAAACTTGGTCAAACGAGAAATGGTTATAAGACCATAAGTTGTGGTGATCAATATGACTTTTGGCTGATTTTAGCTTATAACCACTTGACTTGTAAGTACTTTTGATGCCTACCAACGTGTAAATAAGATAAAAAAAATACTTATAAGTTAGTTTGACAAACTTTAAGCTTAGCCAAATACCATGTATAGAACTTTTAAAAATAGTGACTTTAAACATGTCATAATAATTGTTTGCCTAAAAAAGCTTCTCATTAAAAATACAAAGTTAAAAAATAAGATGGGAGGTATAAAGTTGATTGTTTTCAAATATGGAAGTGTGTCATACTTTTTTACAAATACTACTCATAAAAACAAAAAGAAGAAAAAGATAGGTGTTTTTAGGTTAGTGCATATTTAGCAGTATTTTAAGGGGTCATTTGATTCAAGAATTAGGTCGGTTATTCTGATATAAAATTTTAAAATTAAATTTATCTTGTGTTTGGTTAAAAGTATTAGCTAAATAAATATTATTTTTATAAAAAAATATGATATAACTTATCCTAAATAGAAGGTGAGATAAGTGATACAAATTTTAATATATTTCCATGATTATAAAAATATAATGACATTTTTACATGGTAGGAATCTTATCAAAAAATATTTATACAAATAATAGTACTTTTGCTTTATTTCATAAGCAAAAGTTATAGCATTTTTAAAGATTCCTTACCGTATTTAATGGCCATCAATTTTTGAAACATAAACATTTAAACACTAACCGTCAATTTAAGGAATTAGTTTTGAGCCATATTAATCTATCTACAATTCTCTCTCATCATTAATTTGAACTTTCTAAACTTACCGTTTGTCTATGAAATTTTTCTTCAAATAAATAATTACTCTTACAATCGCATTTCCGTTTTTCTCTCAAACAAAAATACATAATACATGCATATCTTTTTATTTATATAGTATATATTTGATGTATAATTATTAAAAAATATATAATTCTGTACATATTCAGTGTATGTATTATATATTTAATGTATAATTTATGTATATTTAGCAAAATCTGAATATATTTGATGTGTGTGTGTGTGTGTGTGTGTGTATATATATATATATATATATATGAGGTATATGTTATTTATTATTCAATATACATTAACTGTATAAATAGTAACAAATTAAATATTTATATGCTTCATTGTTATTCCTTATGTATATTATACGGTAAATAAATTTTAAAATATAATATACTGTAAATAATATCAAATAACTTTTTCTTGAATTAAATTCTTTATGTGACAAGATTTTCGCTCAAAAAAGGGTATACGAAGCCTACGGGGAGGAAGGAGTTATTTTTGGACGAAAATTATCCTCCCAATACGTTTCCAGTCATATTTGTTAACTAGTAAATTTACTCGCGCTTCGCGTGATTATAAAAAATAAAAATATGGCTAAATAATTAATGTGCTATGAAGAAAATCAATCTTGATTAATCAAACATTTTTTCATGATTCTTCAAGGAACTATTATAATGGGCAAAACAAACATTAACATTTAATAATGAAAATTCTTTTACACTACCCGTGTATATCATTTAAAACTCGCAATTTTACTCACTTGAAAGTGAAGGCCCAAAATTCATGTAATCTCTCACGCTTCATCCAAATGAAGTGATTCCTCCATATTTTTATACTTAAGAAACAAAAATACTGTAAATAACAACTTAAAAAATAAAAATTAGAAAATATACATTGTATTATACTAATGAATTTTTTTTTGAGGAATCAGAAGGAAAGACTGGTTTGAGAATTTGCGAAGAAACTTAAAGAGGGTAGGCAAGGAAGAAAGAGATAACAACGTTAAAAGAAAAATAGCTCCAATTTTTGTCTTCTTACAGTAGAAGACGAAAGATGAAAAAGGCACCCAACAAAAAAAGATTATAACAAAAACTATAGTGAAAAGTTCCCCAGTTAAACTAATTTGTTCAAATTTAGCCTTTGGTGCTTTGGTTGCTATTGATGATGCTTCTTCCTCTTTGCTAATTGTTTACCCTCAAAATCGGATAACAATTAAATTTATAAGTGGTTTTAAGGATATGCGGATTAATTTAATACAAAACGATAAATTGAGTTAGAATGGACAAGTAAAGATACAATAATTTCAAACCACGCGAGGAGGATGGTTCTAGCCTTGGTGAAGCATTCACCCTCGATCCGAGCTTACAGTGGACAATTTCGCTGAACGAGAGAAAAAGCTTACAATAACAGTGAAAATAATAATATATTGCTTTGGAATGCGTGTTACAATCTGTCTAATGAATTATTAGACCCCCTTTATATAGTAGGGGAATTCTACTCTAAGTACAACTCTATAAAAGGTAAAACATCTTCTGTTTAACTGATTGCCGGTCCTTCATCGATATGTGCCGGGATCCACGCCGCGATATTCGGCCGATCGTGGATATTACGGCCTTCTGTTGGTCGTGCTTGATTGCCCGACAATGTCTTCCGAAGTCTTTTAGGATTTGGATCGATCTCGAATCATGACCTCGATATTCTCAAAGGCAGACAAAGTACCCCCGAATTCTGACTCGACGAGACCTTTGTTTTGATTTCGATCCTTCGCAATCATATCTCGAGTTCGTTTTACCCTATTGGAGGTCGGAGTATATCATGAGCCCGGTTTTTACCCGTATACAGATAGTCCCCTCGTTTCTCAGAAAGCAAGCTGACGAGAAACGACATGGGCATCCCGATTCCTTCTTCAATACACCGTGACATAAGCGACAAAAAGCCCGAAATGTCTCGTCAGTCATGTCATAATGGCATTAAATGCATGTCAGCCGCTGGTCGGCTGTCCCTGGAGGCGAAACGTCGTAGAACCACTATAAATAACCCCTCTTTCGTTCATTTTTTACTTTATATTAAACCATCTACCTTTGTACCCTCAGAATTTCACTACTCTTTTTCACATTCTAGCATTTTTACCTCCGTTATTCGAGATTCCTTTGAAATTTTTACTCATCATCTACTCAAGCCAACACATCTGAGCTTCCAGCTTTCAACCTTTCCCTATCTCTTTCAAGTTTTCCCCTATAACAATGGTAAAAACCTCAAAATCTGTTTCCCAAAAGGTCGCTTCTACTTCCTAAACAACTGCCGAAACTACTTTCGATGTGGTCGACCTCGGGAGACTTGCTGCTAATGTGGTTATCGATGAACCGACTCCTGAACCTCCCTTGAAGATGTTCATTCCCGGAGGTTGTTCGATCGTTGACGACTTCAAGGTCGAGAAGCCTTCTTCGGTACAAGGTCGGCGTGAGGATGCCTCGAGATACATTTGCTCAATCACTGAAGAGGACCTCCCCACGATCTGAAAAGACTGCAACTAGGCTGACAAGGACATCGTGGTCCCCGACTCCGAAGAGGCCATTACCACCCATGTCGAGGGATATCTGAGTGTTTACACTTATCCCCTTACATTGGGCCCGGTAGACTCAGTCATCTTAGACTTCTACAGGAGGTATAACATATGCCTTGGACAAATTCAACCCTCACTGTGGAGGATCGTGATCCTCCTTCGATTTTTTGTGAATAAAATTGGTTCGTGCACCTTCACCATCGATCATCTGCTCCGTTTATACAGTCCCCGAATCTTCCGGGTGGGGTGGACTGATAAAGCTTGCACGCCGAGTCGGCAAAGCCCTATTTTTGAGCATTGACGAGGAACATGATCAAGGTTGGCAGGGTCGTTTTGTCCGGGTGAGGACCTTAGATTTGATCCCTGCCGAATTCAGACCATTCCCCGAGAAGTTGAATGCATCATGTATGTAAAACTTTCCCTCGAATGTTGATTTCGTGTTCATCTCTCTTTTTCTCATTGGTATTCGTAATGGTGCAGCTGTCGCTCGAGTCCCAAATGTTGTCCCTCGACTCAAGGAGTGGGTTGAAGGTATTGTCTCACAGATGCCCTTCTCCGAGCGCTCGTGGCGCAAACTCTCGAAGGGCCGTTGGGAGGCCCGTTCCCATGGTAAGATTCTTTTCCCGAACAGGTTGTGTTAGGCTTCTTCTCTCAGCATTACATTCTTATTATTTTTCCTTTATTTCCCTTTTGCAGGTTTGCCTAAGACCGTCGAACTTAGGCCCTCAGTTGGGGACGAGGACCTACCTGCCGATTCTTTCGCTTCGGGACAACCCGAAGCCACAACAGGGGAGAAGAAAAGAAAAAGGGCCCAGAGTTCACCGAGCTCGGAGAAAAATAAAATGAGAAGGAGGCTGGTTCGTAAGCCAAAGAAAACCTCCATCTCCCGAGTGCTTGACTCGGAATCACTCCTCTGGCTCAGAGACGAGCCCAAGGAGGATGCCATCTTTATGGCCCATGAGCCATCTGTCCCCGAGGAATGGGTGACAGCCAAGGGGGAAACAACTGAAGCTAATCCCTCTCAAGTTCGTGAGGCTAATGCCGAGGTAAGGACCGAGGACTCGCGAGATGCCGGTCATGCCCCGCCCGGCGTTATAGATATTTCGGGATCGCCTTCGTTCACAGAATCATTATTCGTTGAAGCCCGAACGACAAATGAGCGATCCCATGAGGAGGTCTATGGAGCAGATGATCCCCTCCGAGGATTTTTTGGCGGTATAGACTCATCCGCCCCGGAGGATTTTATCGAGTTGGGCGACTTAGAGGTGCTGAAGAAAAGTCCACCTTCGGAGGCTGGCGTGTCGAGCTCGAGCCCGAGATTAACCAATTGGTTCCCCGCTCCGAGCAAGGATCCTGGTCGGAAGTGAACTGTCGTTCTTACCGTTCCCGAGGATGCCCAGATCCTTTTTGCCCCCGTAGGGATAGCCAGTTATCTCCGGTGTTTGGTAACCAAAGAAGACTAGGGCAAAATGAATGAGGTAGATGCGCCATGCCTATCCAACGAAGCACAACATGTGCTGAACTGGGTAATTCTTGATAATTCTTGATGATTATCTTTTATAATATTTGAATTAAATTTTGATAATTCTAATATCTTTTCTCGTATTTTTAGGCCTCGGTGCTCCACCACAAGACCTTTCTCCGGTATCGGGATGAGCTGAGCCAACTCGAGGCCGAAGTCAAAGAGCTTGCTGAGAAGAGAGGCATGTATATGCTTCTTAGCGAGCAACGTGAAGGAGAAGTCAAGAGCCTCCGAGCTGAGTTGGATGCGGCTCAGAAGGAACACGCTGACCTGTTGGAACAGGTAAAAATCTTTGAAGTTAGTGATGATGAGCTAGGCACAGTGTCTAATGGTCAGAATCCATAGGTCCAGCAGAAGGTTGATCGGGTCGACCAGCTCCAGGCTGAGATGGATGAAGTCAAGGTCATGGCCGAGGAGTGGAAGGTCAAGATGGACCGATTGGCTTCGGAAAAGGAGACCGCCCAGGAGCAGCGGGCCTCGACGGAGGCCCAACTTCGATCGATGAAGGAGAAGGCTGAAACTCGGTCCCAAAAAATCGAAGACCTCCAGTCTCATCTGGGCTCGGCCGTTGCCGCAAGGGATACCCTTGACAAGGAGCTTGAAGCAGCCAAGTTAGCGGTGGAAATAACCAAGGCCGACGCTGAAGAGATGGTGGCCCAGTATAAAGCTGATGCTGAGGCAGCTCAAGAACGCCTGAAGGACATCGTCAAATATGTGAGGTGGCAGTCTCGGAGGGAGGTTCTTGAGGAAGTTCATGCCCGGGGGTTCTATTTATCGGCCGAGATTGTAAATTTTAAGAGGCTCGAGTTTGAGGCTTAATAGGCTCTCCGTCAAGACCAGATGCACCTTTGGGGGTTATCATAGCATCACGTCTGCTTCTCATGTTTTCCTATCTTTCATTAGCATCTAGGTACTTTTCAAGTCATAAAATCCATGGCGAACTCATTATGAATATCTGCAAACCTTCCATGATTATTTTATAGTGTCTTCCTGGGTTCCGTTATCTTTACACATTCGGCTTCTAGAATCATTGACTATGTCATTGTCATGTGCGAAGAGTTTACTTTCCTTAATGTTCCATATCCCTGGGTGGATAGGAGTTATTTGTCTTTATCCCCGGAGCATCATATTACCCATTAGAACCTTTCTAACCAATGATGTCATTACAATGATTAACCATGTCAGTGCTATTGGTAGTAACCTTCATGTCTTTTAGGATATAACCTCTTGAAATGCCCTTCGCAGTACATTGATGGATTCTTGAATAATTCCAGTCCAATTCGAACCTCGTTGTTCCTGTTTGTAGTAAATCCATCGAGAGTTGTAGGTTCAAACATATCAAAGAAGAAGCATTATTCCATGATCGAACATATTGGGTAGGAACTCTATCGTCATATTCATTCTAGCACATCGTAGAATAATTATTGAAAGTCGCCAAAGGTTTAGTTTGGGTGTTCGACGTAGAGATTTAGGGAAATAGGCCGAGCTGCGCGTATGATGTCCCATATCGTTGTCCTCTATGCACCCAGTGTTTCATGTGTCTACGTCAAGGAAGGTAGTTGGAAGTTCTTTGTCTATCGTTCTGGTGGGAGCTATGGAAGGTAAACTTAATGGGTAATTGGCTTATGAGAGATACCTAATTGTCATCCTTGTTAGATAAGTCCGGAAGTTGAGATTGCCTCCGCTAGGTGCTATGGCTAAGTCTATGAGTTGAGAAGATCACCTCGAAGGCCGAAAGTGTTGTGGAAAGGGAATATTCTCAGTTGGTTGTAGAGCCAAAAAGATGTGGTTCAAAAGGTACTTTTTTGTGTTATGATTTAAATGTGTACAGTTCATGTCAAGATACCACTTATGTTAATGTAATGCCCTTAATGTTGAGGTCGGTGTTATTAATATATATTGTGATGCTTTGTCGAGTAGTGTATGTGTTGTTAGGAGTTGTTTTGGTAGTTCTATGGCAGGTGGATAGGCCCAATTATAGGGGAGACTCTGCCAAAATTTTTGAAAATTTGGGAGTTAGCCAAATTGGAGGCTTATGACGTGTGAAAGGAGAGATGAATTATGTTGAGTGTTTTGGGCGGACTCTACTCCTCATTCGAGGACGAATGATCCTAAGTGGGGGAGGATATAAGGCCTCGTAAAATTTCGCCAAGGAATTTAAGGTTTCGTGGTGCCGAGGTACGCCTATGTGGATGGAAACTTTTGGCAGAAGAAGGCAATTTTGTTGTTTGTTTCACGACCGCATAACCGTTTTGCGGGCCGCATAATCATCGCGTAGTTGAGCAAGGAGTTTGTTGAATTTTGAAGGTCATTTTGCGGTCCATTCTGCGATCGCATATCCATTTCGCGTTCTGCATTTTTGGTCACAGATTTGGCATGCAGAATTTTATTGGGTCACTCTGCGGTCCATTGTGCGACCGGATAAGTGGTATGCGGACCGCAGACCTGTCGCAGACTGGTCCAGACCAACCCAGTTCTTGGCATCATTTTCGTGGCCCATATTTCAGGCCGTATATCTGTTATGCAGTCTATTCTGCGACCGCATGAGTTCGGAGGGTCCATTTTTCTATTTTATAACCCGACCCCATTTTTTATAAAATGACTTTAGGGTTATTTTGGCCGGGTTAACACATATTTTAGAGAGACGGGAGTGCTTTAGAAAGGGAGGAAGGAGCCCCAAGTGCATTGATCATCAATCCCTACCCAAATCTTGAAGATTCAAGGGAATCATTTACTAGACCACCATCTATCCGGGTAAGTTCCTGTCCTATACCACCCACGCAAGTTATTTTAGGGTCTAAATATATTGTGGAATTAGAATTAGGCCATGCATGTGCCAATAGCTTGTAGTATGTTAGGTTAATGAATTATTTTGGGTAGTCTATTGTTGAAATTGGTTGAGGGCAGAAGGGATTACCATTGTAGAGCTTTGTAATCTATTTTGCATACTAGGTGTTTGACAAAATTCCTAATAGGGTTACACCATGAGAATCCTTCTAATTATTATATGATTTTCGCTATCTTCCTATAGATTGTTATTGCTAGAAGTATTGGGACGTTGTAGTAACTTAAGAAAATCTCAAACAAGGTATGTTGGCTAAACTACTCTCTTAGAATTGAACGGCCTTGACATTATCCACAACGGTGATGTCCTTAATGGCCTTGATTTTATCGGGATTAATCTCGATTCCCCGGTTGGACACCATGAATCCGAGGAATTTCCCGAACCCGACTTTGAATGCGCATTTCTCTGGGTTCAACTTCATATTGTATTTCTTCAATATATTGAAGGTTTCCTGCAAATGTTTCAAATGGTCCTCTTCTCGCAGGGACTTAACCAACATATCATCAATGTAAACCTCCATTGATTTCCCTATTTACTCTTCGAACATCCGATTTACTAGGCGTTGGTAAGTGGCACCAACGTTTTTTACTCTGAATGGAATTACGTTATAACAGTAGGTACCATATTTAGTGATGAAGGACATTTTTTCCTGGTCGTCCGGGTCCATCCGAATTTGGTTGTACCCGGAGTAGGCATCGAGAAAACTGAGGATCTCATGTCCGGCTGTGGCGTCGATCATGGGATCGATGTTTGGCAGAGGGAAAGAGTCCTTGAGGCATGCCCTGTTTAAGTCTTTATAGTCTACACACATTCTTAATTTATTCCCCTTTTTAGGGACTACTACTACGTAACCTCCCGGATGAACCCTATTTTAAGGAGTTTAGATACCTCGTTCTTGATGAATGCATGCTTGAATTCGGACTAAGGCCTCCTTTTTAACTTGACCGGACGGAACTTCAGATCCAAGCTTAGCTTATGAGTAGTTATCTCCGGAAGAATCCCTGTCATATCGAGGTGAGACCAAGAGAAACAATTTATGTTAGCTATCAGAAATTGAATGAGTTTTTCCTGAGCTCGAGACTTAGCCCAATGCCGAGGTGTACCTTACGATCAGGCAGGCGTTCGATCAATATGACTTGCTCCAGTTCTTCGACTCTTGATTTGGTGGCGTCGTAATCATCAGGGACTATGAAAGGCGTGGGAACTCCGTATTCATCGTCCTCATTCGTCCCCTGCTTCCCCGGTTCGATCGAGGCGGGTATTGGTAATTGCTATTTGGTTTCATCTTTGGTCACCGGACTTAGACCCTTCGATGTCGAAAGTACGGATATCGGGGTCACCTCGACAACCGTGAACATTGCCTTTGCGGCCGGTTGTTCTTCGTAAACTGTTTTAATCCCTCTTGGCGTTAGGAATTTCAGCACCTGGTGTAGCGTCGAGGGTACTGCCCTCTTGTTGTGAATCCATGGTCTCCCGAACAAAGCATTGTACCTCATGTCTCCTTCCATCACGCTGCACTTTGTTTCCTGAATGGTTTCGGCGGTGTTCACCTATAATGTTATCTCCCCTTTAGTGGTCTCATATGCCATGTTGAATCCGTTTAGAACCCTGACTGCAGGCACAATTTGGTCTTGTAGACCTAGTTGTTCCACGACCCTCGATCTAATGATATTGGCCTAGCTTCCTGGATCAATTAATACATGCTTAACTCGAGATTTATTTATGAGTACAGATATTACCAGTGCATCATTGTGGGGATGTACGATGCCCTCAGCGTCCTCGTCGTTGAAAGACAAGGTTCCTTCTGGTACGTAATCTCGAGTCTATTTTTCCCTCGTGATGGATACTTCGGTGCACTTTAACATCGGCCCCTGGGGAACGTCGACCCCACCGATGATCATGTTAATGACGTGCTGAGGCTCCTCCTGCTCAATCTGCTTGCTAGAATCTCTATTCCTGAAATGATTTTTGGTTCGAACGCTCAGGAATTCTCGGAGATGTTCGTTGTTGAATAACCGGGCTATTTCCTCTCTCAATTGTCGGCAATCTTCTGTTATTTGGCCGTGAGTGCCATGATATTTACATATTAAGTTGGGATCCCTTTGGGCTGGATTGGACTGTAGAGGTCGAGGCCACTTGGTGTCTTTGATGCGTCTGATGGCAGATACGATACCTGCAATATCGACGTTAAAGTTGTACTCCGATAACCTCAGCACTTCTTTAGGCCCGATGGGCCTTTCAAAATCGTTTTTGCTTATGAGTCCCCGGTTATTTTGACTTCGATCGCTTCTCCTTTCACTTTTCACAGGGTTTCGTCCGGACCCATTACCCCTACGATCACCGTTGTACGATTGATACCGATCTCTGCTTGACCTTGGTTCACGATCAATGTCTCTTTTAGATCTGTCACTAGCTCGGAAGGGATAAACAGACACGGAAGGGGCCCCAAGCTGATCATCTTCGACCCTAATTTTTGATTGGTATCGGTTATACACGTTGGCCCAAGTCACAACCGGATATTCTACCAAATTTTGTTTCAACTGCTGCGAAGCCAATGAGCTTCGAGTATTGAGTCCTTGGGTGAAGGCCTGAACGACCCAATCGTCTATCACTGGCGGCATGTCCATCCGTTCCATTTGAAACCTTGACACGAACTCCCTAAGCATCTCGTTATCTCTTTGCTTTACCTTGAAAAGGTCCGACTTTCTGGTCTCGACCTTGATGGATATGGCATGCGCTTTTACAAATGCATTTGCAAGCATAGCAAATGAGTCAATAGAATTGGGGTGTAAGTTGTGATACCATATCATAGCTTCTTTTGACAAGGTTTCTCCAAACTTTTTCAGCAAGACAGATTCGATCTTATCATCTTCCAAGTCGTTCCTCTTGATGGCGCACGTGTACGAGGTCACATGTTCATTTGGATCAGTTGTTCCATTGTACTTAGGAATTTCGGGCATGCAGAACTTCTTCG